CCCCCCCCTCCCTTTCTCTTTCTCTCGAGCTGCAATGGAATAAATCGGTAAGCCGAACGACCGGCGTGGAATCAGCTCGGGGAAAAATCGACTGAAAGCTGGTCGACGAGGGACATTGCCGATCGCCAAGGATAATCCAGCCTTGTTTTAGGGAGGGCGGCATCGGATCCTCGTTAAAAAATCATTACCAGCTTCGTCCACCATCGTCTGGCAGACGGAGGAGCAATACCAGATTTCCGACGATCGGCAGATCGGCTGAATCGTGAAAATCACGGTCTCTTCGGTTACTTGGGCCAAGTGCGGAGGAGACAGAGAAAGCAGCGAGGGACTGGGGAAACAAGTCGACCACGAATACGCGAGATACCCGTTCTATTTCACCGATTGTTCGAACGACCGCGGTGTCGCGATGAAACAACGCGTTCTTCTTTTCTTCCATTTCGCTCTCAATTTTTCTTCTTCTTCTTCTATCGCCGCAAATACACGTACACGTGCGTGTTCTCTCTTTCTCTCGAGACCAGCAGCAGCGTACACGAGCGTCCGATAAAGTGGGAAAACTTTATCGATTTATTAACTTGACAGGGTTTTCATAAGCTTCTTAGGATTCATAAAGTAATATTAATCTCGCGCGCCACGTAGGTATATATCCCACCAACCCGCCATTGCTCCGACCCATAAATTTTCCGTCGTTTTCTCTGCCCTCTATTCGCCCTGCTCTTCTCTCTCGCGGCTCCTCTACATCCTCGCCGATTCATCTCCTACACCACCGCCGCCTCTCTCGTCGTCCAGCTGTCTTTCTTTCCCCCGGTGCATTTTACCGCGTCACCATCGAGACAAAGTGGAAGCAGAGGAAACGGGAAAAGGGAGAAGATCGAGAGTCGCCGGTCTATTCACTCTCTTTGCCTTTTCTCCTTCTTCCCTTCTCCTCTCTCGCGTTTGCATTTTACGATTAGAAAACTGCCCGGCTGGTTGGAGTATTTTTACTCGTGAAAAAACTCGACAAATGAAAATCACGAAATCGCGGATCGTCGATGAAAGCTCTCGATGATGATCGTTTGGCTGCGAGTGCTAACGACCTAACGATTATTTCGGCGGCGAAAATAAAAATTCGAACGCCGCAATGGTGCGCACGCTTTTTCGTTTTACTTTTCTCCTCTTCCCCCTTTTTTGTTTTTTTTTTTTTTTTCAATCTTTTTCATTCCACGAGAATTTTTCGGTTTTGCAACGAGCGACGAAAATTTCAAGCGGTCAGCGGGAGCGAAACAGCCCGAGAGAGAGAGAGAGAGAGAGTGAGGCCGTGGTAGAGAGTTGAATTTTCAACGAACCGAGGGAAAATCAATATTATCCAGCGGCCGGAGAAACTTGATTAGCGTTCGTACACTGTTCAATTAAAATACTCCAACGGCCCAGCAACGTAACAGCGTGGAATAAGACGAGGAAGCATCACGCGGTTTATCGTTCCTTTTCTTCTCCCGTCCAACGATCGTTGTTTCTTACCCAAGTTTCCCTCTCGGGATCGAAACCTCCTCTGCTGGTCTCGTAAAAAATTTTCGCTCCCGCTCGGGGTTTCTCGTTCTCCCGCCTACGCTTGCGAGCGAGCGAGCGCGTCATTCCTCGGTATCCCAACGATAATTCTTCGCCGCCCTGGTGACCGTCTCAAATAAAAATTCGACCTTTCGGCGAAACTCGCTGGGGAACCGTAACTCTTCGCCCTTCTTCCACGAAGCGAGTCGAGTCGTAGATATTTGTTCGGCTCTGCGAGGGGAAAGGAAGGGGTAGTTTGAACTGAATGGCAATTTACGAGAGGCGACCGATGAAGCAGTTAATAATAACAATCCGCGGGAAAAGAAACAAGGCTCGGTGAAGAAGGAGAGTCGTTGAACCGGCGGACAGGGACCAGACAGGTCTTTCATCCGGATTAAAATTTCTCATCGACGACGACCTGGCCACCTACTCGCCTCTAGCGAGAGAGACGCGTTTCGTCGGCAGCCAGCCGAGACTTTTGTCATTATACGGATATGGGAAGGGCCGGCGGAATAATATCGCCCGCTCCGCGAGCTGCGAAATCCAACGTACACGCACGGTTAATCTCGGGATTACAACCGGCGTGGATTAAAGCCGAGTGGAGCGCCGCTTTGCTCCGCTCCGCGCCCGCGCCAAGGCGACATATCCCGTGAACGTCGTCGTCTTGGCGCGTCGGGGATTTTTCGATTCGAAACGAGGCACGTTTCCCGACTTTCGCGACACGTTTGCACCGTTGCGCCCGTGTGAATGCGTTCGACGTGCCTGACGCCATAATGGATTGGTATGATGCGGGGCAATTTTTAAATCGTTCTATCGACGATCGATTGCCCACCACCATTCAGGATGATTGATATTTAATGTTCAGCGAGAGTGAAGGTCAGTCGGTCTAACATTCACTCGCAAGATTGCCGTAGCAATTTTACAGGCACAACAACGAATCTCATCTTACTCTGTATAATAATATAGAGTCTAATTAAGAATTTCATTATAATAAAATAATAAAGACTGTGAGATTTGTACGATAAATATGTTTGTGGAATCTAATTAAGCATTTTACTCGGAAAACAATCGCGAGGTCTTTCTCGCATCCGATAAACGTGCGCTGTACGCGTGCCTTTGAAAATCATCCAGTTCGACACCTGGAAAGCTCCGAAACTTTTCGCTCCAAATAGCGAATCGAATTTCGTACGGTTCGCACTTTACAGTGTTTCTTCCGGGCCTCGAAGTCGAGCTCCGAATAACCCGAGCGCTTGCGAACGAAATACAGCCGGATTGGTCCTTTGCAACAACGGCTGCACACACACACACACACACACACACATACACACCATGGTTACGTGGCATCGTTTGCATAAATGCCGCGTAACCGTATTCGAACGCGGATGCTCGTTCCGGATTATCCAGCAGGCATGCCCGAAACGCTCGATGCCCAGGTTGTTCGGCTATCGAGCAACTTTCTTTCTTTCGGTATCTCACGTTCGTCGCAACTTTTCCTTCGCGTCCTCTCGACGAGAACGCGCGTAAAAGAGAAAACGTTTATACCGACCTAATAATTCTCTTTCGCCCGCAAGGTTCCCCTACTTTCTTCTCCGCCATCGAAAACACTTCATCTGCTTATTCCGCGTAGCCAATCACTTTCAATTTCTCACACTTTAATCTTTAATCGCGCGTTAACGTCGACCGCTCTGAATCTTCGAATCCACGGCCTTGCCCGTCCCTTAACAAGTTCTTTGACCGCTTTTTCACTTCTCACCGGCCGATTAATTTTCCATCGGGTTGCTCCCAGTTTGTTCGCGTGACTCATCTCACTCGACTAATTCACTTCTTTTCGTTTGATGGCAGGTATAAGGTTTCCGTAGAGGGTGGTACGATATATAAGATTAAATAATAATGAATTGGATAATATCTTACGCAACAGAGAACAGTTTCATCTTCTTGTAATCGATGGTAAAGTCTGGCAATAGCAGTATTCTGGGTTCCTAATCTTTATATTTTTTTCTGTCGTTTAAATTTTTTCAGAACAGTTGATTTTATTGATATTATGGGCCGCTTAATTTGAACGTCTCTGGCGTTTTTGGAAATATGAAGATCATTCAGTTGCAGAGTATGGCAAAAATTTTACAATTCTTTTTGTAAGGTAGAAAGAGAAATTTCAAAGTTATTTCCAATTTTTTTAAATGGAATAATATATTTTTTGATCCATTAGCCGATGATCTCGACATTCTCTATGAAAGAATATTAATCTATGTACGTCGAAAAATGGTTAGGTCAGAAGTCTATTATTTTAACAGTAATAATCTGTAAAATCTACGCACGAGAGACACGAAAATCCTTCCCTGTTTTTTACGATTTTTGGCACAGAATTTTGATTCAAATATCTCCTAAATTAATGATTCTTCAATATACACTAGGCTAACACTTTTTTCATTTTTTAAATGTCGTATCGAAATATATGATTCCATAAAAAAGAAAAAAAAAATGGAAATATCTAAAATATCTGAAACTCCGTCCATCAAAAATTTGAATAACTGAATAACTTTCGTTAACAAATTTTTTCCATATTTTCCAAAAAAAAAAAAAAAAAACCGGAGATGTTGAAGCTGTATAAAAGCTCTTCCATGACACGATAACACGATTGACAGCCAAGAGGAGAGAGAAAAGACTAAACACTCACCGTTTAGGCTTTTGGAGTCGTACTGCTCGGTTTGCAGCGGCTCCCTGTAGATGATCGGGTCCATTCCCGCGAAGTCGGCCACCGTGCCGGTGTAAAGTTCACCGTCCACGTAGACAAAGGTGCTGTTGTGGCGAGGGTCGTACGGGCACATCGCTTGGCCGCCCTTCTCCTTCAGGATCGTATAATTGCCGGCGTGTACCCCGTAGTCACGGCACATTGGCTTGAACGCGTTCGTCGCGCACACCAGCAACGTGTTCGTGTCCGTCTTGACGAGGATGCGAATGTAGTTCTGGCAATTCTCCTCGGGCGTGCCCTTCACCAGACACATCTTCACGTCACTGTCGGTCGAGTACCAAGTCAACCTCTGCTGCTCGGTCAGATCAGTCAGGCTCAGATTGTGCACGAGATTTCTGAAACAGACGAATGAGAGTACGCTTTAACACGTTTCACTCGTTTTTAACGTTTGCTCGTATTAGTCACTTTGCTCGCATTTGCAATATGTTCATTCTTTGCTTGAGCTTCGAGCTTCAGTCTTCAGACGGTGGACAGTTTTATACTCGCGTGTACGATTGTTCTTGGATTAAATTCGAATCAATGGTGTGTTTGCTCTCGAGAAAAATTTTATGGATTAGATAAATTCATATAATAACTGGATAAATTCTTCGTAGTACTTTGTAACGAAATTAAATTTCAACCAGTTCCTTTCAGCGATAAACCGATATAATAATGTAGCGGATGGTCATCAAGTGCGACTGTAGGAGCAAAAAATTTTAAAATTATTTTATACGAATATAAAACGTGATACACGCAAATTAAATTGATGATGATACTCACTATTTCTATGAAAAGTTCGATTTTGATCATTTGATTACATATAAATGAACATAGAAATCCTTGCAGAAAATAGTTCCAAGTGCGAAGATTTCTTTTTCTTAATTTCTAATGTAACAATTTGTTATATAAATGAAAGAAATGACCGTGAGTCAAAGAAGAAATGAATGTAACATTCAGCATTATATCATTCAGCAATGATATAAAGACAATCGCAACTTGGCTAAGCGCATTAATAAACTGAATTTTTTTTCTCCATCTCAATCTACGGTTTCAATAAAGAGAAAACCCGGCACAGCTCCCCTTTTTTATCGTTTTATGCAACTTATTGTTTAACTTATTGTTTTTCATTTATTACCATATTTTACTCAATCACGTTACATCTTTGAGTTCACTTTGTTGTAATGTCTTACGGACTCAATGAACCTTTTTAAGGTTGCTTTCGTTCTTTTTCTTTCTTTAAATATGTAGAGAATGGATTTTCTCTCCGTTTGTTTGAAATGAATAAATAAATCCGTTTGTTTGAAGTGAATAAATGATATCAAGGGTTAAATTATTGTAGTGCAGTAAAAGCTTTCATATTTGGATCTCCATTATTCAAACACTCTAATATCCGAGCATTCTATAATCCGAATAGAATATTTACTAGTAAATATCCCTTCTATCACGTGACGTATAATTATTATAATACGAGCGTATCGAATTGACGAGTTAAGACCAAAAAAGTCAAAAAAAAAAAAAAAGATGAGTTTATCATAGAAACAGCGAGAATACTCGTATCATTTATTAATTTATCACGTTTCACATTCGTATAAAATAACAGTCAATTTTTAACAGTCAGTTTATCATTGGCAGAAACTGTCGAAACTTAATTTCGTGTGACACGAATTTCTAATTTTCACGATTATGAATTCACTCGTCGGCCAGGGTCGCTCGGATTTTAATTGGAATCGGAGTTTTTCCTCGACATCGATTCTGGTGACCGACTCCGTTTCCGCGAATCGAAGGAAACGCGAACCGTCGCCGCCGGCAACGGTTTAAATCGCGTGCAACTGCGAGAGCTGTCGCGAGACAACGGGGGAAATTTGCAGCTCGAGACCTCTCGGAATATTAATCTCGAGTCGGCCGCCATAAATCTCGGCCGGTTTGTAATAAACGGATCGGGACGTCGGGGCTCGGTTCCCGTGGCTCACGGCCCTTCGATCGACTATTTTTTGCAGTCGATCGATGCGCCATGCGACCCGCTGCAAGCCGGAGGATCCGCGACCGATAAGCCGACGAACACTAAAAGGACACGGAAGCTCCCTCTCAGTATCACGCGATGATTAATACGAAATCGGGAAAGTATCTGGTACAGAAAAAGCTCGTAGATCCCGGGTGGATTTTTCTTAGCTAGGAAATTTGTACGTATTATTACACGTTTAACGTGACACGAGGCTTTTTTGGTACGAAGAACAATGGTGAAACTTTGTTGAAGAAATTACGTTTAACTCTGCGACGAGTCAACGAGTTTCGTTCGTGAGTGACGAAGCTGTGGACATAATGAACAAAGCGAATGAAACTGACGAGGGTTGGAAACGTTCGAGGTAAAATCTAGAAAAGATGATTTGAAGCACGAACTGAATAATCGAACATTTCTTTCTTTCTTTTTTTTTTTTTTTTTTCTTTACAAAAAGGAATTTTCATAATTTCCATTTAAACACAATTTAATATCAGAAAAATTATTCCATTATCTGAAAATTTTATACCAAGAGAAAACTTTGATCTTCTTATTGGTTCAGACAGAGGAGATTCTACTGTATTTCTATTTAAATCGAGTGATCTCAGACTCATCAGGTTATTTGCACCATCTTTGTATTAACTTTAATATCCTCTGTTAATCTACTAATTTTCAGTTATTTTCTCTTTTCAGCTATTTGAAAAAGCAATCACCGCGACTTCAATCGGTCAATAAATTTTTTTCGTACGTCAAAGCATTTCTCATTAGCCGTGAAATAAATAAATAATGACAACAACAATAATAACGAAAAACCAAACAAGCAGCAATGACTTGACGAATCGCTCGAGTAATTAACATAATTCTATCGACAACGACGACAACGATGCGATCGATTCTCGCTCGTTCACGTGAGGGAGCACCCAATTATTCGTCTCGACCTACCAGCAACCGATTTCGTTCCTTCCTTCTCTCTATTTTTCTTCCTTTCTCTCTCTCTCTCTCTCTCTCTCTCTCTGAACAAAGTCGAGCTGAACAAAGATTCGTTTTCTAGAGGAAAGATAATCGATCAGCTTCGACGGGAAAGCGAAGGAGGCTCGGTGCATAACGATTCCGCGGAACAAGGAGTACGCGGTTCGAAGGAAACCGGGTGAATCCTTCGTAAGCAACGACCCAAATAGCAAACCAGAAATACGAAAGAGGGAAGAGATCCGTGCTCTAGATTTCGCGCACATTGGCCGATGTGTATATAATATATATCGCCACTTTTAATTACGTGTTACGTCATCTCTCGGTACCACTGGCGAAAGGGAGAAAGTTTTTTTTTAAAGAGCTGCCGCCGAGCCAGGGAGGCGGGGGTGGAGGTAGTCGCGCTTCCCTCGCCTCGGATTCGAAGGCTCGCGAAATAAAGCGTACAAAGAAGTTTCTAAATAAAGTTCGACGATCTCATTAGCAGGAGAGAGAACAGGGCTCCGCGGCTGGCTCACGGGGAATAATTCATCGTTGGGAAAGGAGAGGGGACGACGATTGGCGAAACTCGAAGGGTAGTGGAGGAGAAAGAGAGAGACAGATGGAGGATGAAAACGAGATTTCCTTGGCGAAACCAGTCCGCACACGTAGAGTCAGAGCGCCGATCGCGCGGTAGGCCCTCGAACCGGTATAGCAAAGAACGAGAAGAAGAAACGGTCCTTTAATTAAAGCACTCGCTCCAAATGAATCCTCTATTTACCTTCCACCGACCAGAAGATAGTTCCCGTCCCGGAGCACCAGCCGAAAGTAGTCTGTGTGCGTCTCGTTCCCCGTAAACCTGAACACATCTTCTGCACCTGGAAAAGAAAAGCAGAGAAACGTCGGTTGGTTGGTTTTCCTTCTATCGTTTCAAAGGTGGAATTATCTTATTCGTCTAATTAACAGGAGGTGGTCGATGGGTCTACGAAGTTTCTTTCGTGATGGAACAGCGACGAAGAAGGAGGTGGATTGTTACCGATGGGACGAGAAATACGCAAACGATGCGCTAAATTGAACAATCCCACGTAGATATATCTGTCAAGCAGATTTTTAAATTTCTTTTTACCAATCATCACCCCCGAAGTAACTCGATCTTTACCGACTCACTTGTCAGATGGATTTAATTTTGATTTAATTTCTTTTGTTTCTTGTACCTTCTGATACTCATTACCTATTGATTTCGAGGGGAATCAACGTATTCGTAAGTACTATATCGATGTTAATTAAACACTTTACGTAAACTTGACAATTTCGCTGTTGCAATTGTTCGACGTTGTACTTTTAGTGGAACGTGCAATCGTACGCATGCAATATTACAAATTGTCAGGGAATATTTAATTTGGAAATTCATATTCTTTTTTCTTTTTTTCCTTTTAGTTCTCGCTTCATTTCTAAGATTGATCGTCCGTGACTGTACGTCGCGAGGAAAGGTGAAAGCGTTGCGCGAGAGGCCTCGGTTGATTAAGACCCTTCACGATAACGAGTCTCGCGAATTTCGACGGCGAATTTCCGTGAAATTTGTCCGGCGCGGTACGAACCTACCATCGTTCTCCGAGAGAGAATCGCGTGGGAGGAGTGCCGTCGACGGGGGCGGAAGAACCGATCGATGGCTAAAGGGCCAGCCAGAATGAGGGGAGAGGACCGTTGAAACTAATAGATAGGTAATTAGCAGATAATGAAGTAGCTTCCTGCCGGGTGAAAAAATGGTCGATCGCCGGGATAGATTCGTTAACGATCGATCGATCGAACCTTTGTTCTTTGGAATCGCGGTCAAAAGGAACTTATTACGCTTATTAAGCCAAACCACTGTGTCGGCTCTGCCCATACAGGCGGAAGGCTTAGTCTCGCAATTAAGAATGTCTATTGGTGCTGCGTGTGCCCTGTGTGCCAACTCATCGATCATAATTTGACTCACAATTCGCCATCATTGAAATTCAGAAATTTTTAAACACCTAGGCATAAGATATATTCATCGGCGTACGTGATTCCTAAAATTCAGATTACTATAATTGATCATTATTTTATAGTCGTTGGTAGCTGTATGTATTTATTAAAGGGCGAATCAACAGGAAGAAAATGTAAAATGAATTGTTACTCGTTTTAAACGAATTAGACCGCGAAGAGGTTCGTTATATGAATGAAATTTCTGGCATACGCTTCAAATGTCGTTCAGCGTATAATTGCCCACTTTAATCCTCTATGATATCGCACAACTTGGAGCTTTCACACATGTGTTCACAATTTTGGAAACTCTGCCTCTACTTTGCTTGTTGCTTCTAATGTAAGCGTCGATACATCCCCCCTTTCCAGATTATAGAAACATCAAATTAATTATTCACCGTAGATTTAGAATCTTTCGTCCGCGAACGAAGTCGTGGAATGTTAACTAAGAGACCGATTTTTAATTGGCCGATGTTTAATCGCAACGTAAGATCGAGTCGAGCGCGTCCACGAGCCAATTCCCAATCCGGAGGGCCACACCGGAGGGCATAATTATCGACGTGTTTCCGCGTTTCGACGTCAGTCAATGTCAGTGACCCGTCCTTTCTGTCCGGCCGATGCAATTTAGGTCGCTGGATAAGCACGCGATAGCACCGACAATAACAATGAGCGAACGCGCCACGGCTAAACGGGGGGCCATTATGAAAGGACTGCCGACCCCCTTCACCCCCACTTCCCCCCCCCCTCGCGAACGCGGCTATTCACTTTGGCCCTCCGCAAGACGTTCGGGCCAAAGTAATTAACGTAATTCCGATCAACTTTCAAAGCGAGCGAGTCCACCTTGCCGAGCTCCATTCATCTGCTTCCGCACGTTTCAACGATTCCCAGCCGCGGAATATCTGTTTCGAGCGGTGGAGGCAGCGGAGAGAGGGACGCGCGCGGCTACGCTTTCAGCCACGGTTTCCCATCGAAGCCGGAATCGTTTCCCAGCGAGATTTTTATTTATTCGTACGACGAAGGATTTCCAGCGTTTTCCATCGGGAAGGGAAAAAAGGAAGCGTTGGTACATGCAGAAGGGTGGTACGAAATTAAGGGGATTGAGCCGTCGAAAAATAAATAAAGTTTTCTTTTTTTTTTTTTTTCTTTCACTAGACTGCGGTTCTTTTTTTTTATGTAAATTCGTATTTTTAAGAAGTACAACAAAAGAAACGGGAGTTCAATAGAAACGATTGTTTCACATGTGACAAATATTACAAAGAGTATATCGTACCTTGGGTATTTCGTGCATTTTTTCAGATTATGCGACATTACGACGTGTAACTTCGTATATTATAAAATTTCTCACTAAATGCATAAAAATCCGCAGTCCAGTAATTATGGACAGTCCACAAATATAAAACGACTTTCAGCTTTATATTTGGATTTTCCTTTTTTCTTTTTTTTTAAGTTAAAATGGTGCAAGATGGTGGCTTGTTAGCATCAAAAATCTCATTTCGACTGCTGATAGTCGTCGCTGTAAAGGACTTGAACGTTCGAAGTAAAAAGAAAGTTCTTATTAGTTGAAAAATAGAAATGTATTGGTCACATTTATACAGAGTGATTCACGCAACTGTAGAAATTTTTTTTTTTTTTTTAAGGAAAAATGACAGAGGATTTAGGTGATGAAAATATTGAAGCAATATCGAAAAATGATCGATTTGAAAGATGCTTGAACTCTAATTTCGTAAAACCTACATCTTACGAAATACGATAAAGAATACACATTTTCTTTGCTTCTCAGGCCACAAGTTTCTACGATCTTAAAATCAAAGTTAAAGTATTTTTCAAATTCACCAACTCTCGATATTACATCCACCAAAATTTAATTTCACCATGTTACTTTAACATTATTTTATATACAGAATGGAAAAAGAGGAAAACGACTTTCATTTGTAGCCCGTTCCAATTATCTTTTCCCAATTTCAGCAACAAAAATATATATGCACACATTGCTCGTTAGTACAGTTACGCGTCGAAAATATTGCAACCCCTTCGCTTCGTAATAGGCAATCCCGAAAAAATTCGCCACTTTGATTTGCCAATTTTTTCGGACGAGATCCAGAGTCTAAGATCTGTGTCTTAAGAAAGTAGATTATCACCGTCGTCGTAACGTTTGAGAGGCAATTAACGCGGCCCTGCGACACCAGTCAATACCGATGATTCGAGCGGCTAGTCTCGCGCATGCAATTTGGGTCGCCGATAGCCGCGGACTACCGGGTGAATGCGATTCACCGGGCCATTATCGGAGAATCATACGTCTTGCACTGGAAACGAATTAACGTCACGCTGGCCGGCGTTACATTCGTCCCGGTCGGACGGGAATGCCCGAGAGGATCGGAGAGGTC